GACTAGAATAAGGATACAATGTATAGGGACTACATTAAGGATACGATGTATAGGGACCAGAATAAGGATACAATGTATAGGGACTACAATAAGGATACAGTGTATAGGGACTAGAATAAGGATAAAATGTATAGGGACTACAATAAGGATACAGTGTATAGGGACTAGAATAAGGATACAATGTATAGGTACTACAATAAGGATAAAGTGTATAGGGACTAGAATAAGTATACAATGTATAGGGACTAGAATAAGGATACAATGTATAGGGACTAGAATAAGGATACAATGTATAGGGACTACAATAAGGATACAATGTATAGGGACTAGAATAAGGATACATTGTATAGGGACCAGAATAAGGATACAATGTATAGGGACTACAACTAGGATACAATGTATAGGGGCTACAACAAGGATACATTGTATAGGGACCAGAATAAGGATACAATGTATAGGGACTAGAATAAGGATACAATGTATAGGGACTAGAATAAGGATACAATGTATAGGGTATATTGCCCAGTGATGAAGAATGTTATGCATACTGTTTGTAAATTTGGTTTCTTATTATTGAAAATCAATAAACTTTTATAGTGTAAAACATCTGAGTGATGAATCCCAGTGTTGCTGCTCCAACCAACTGCTGCCGAACACTTTGCTTCATCGCTAAATTGGTTAAACAACAACAACAACAATATCGCTCTAAGTTGTCCGTTTGATGCCACAAATTGGCATCTTCTGCCTAAATCTGTCAGCGGTTCGGCCACCATAGTAACCATTTTCACCGCGTGCCTCCAAGTTCTCCATCCCACAAAGTGCCCCCAGCCATTGCTTGTATGGAGCAGATCCCTCTGCAGGGGCCTAATTACTATCTGTACATCTTGGTCACAAACCCAGACACCTGCTTGACAGAACAAGTGGACAGACGCTTGCCGCCGCTCAGTATTTTTCTTCGAGAATCCTGTTGAGTCACAAGAATATGTGGAATGACTTGGCAGGACATGCCTAAGCCGTGTGTCACAGACATGCTAGGTCGCAGCAATTAGTGTGGACTGAAATGGAGTCACACAGAGTGAAGTGAGATGATTCTTGCTAGCCGTCCTCACACGTTGCTATGTAACTGATGTCAGTGCTGTATAATCAAGACAGACTTTTCCCCGGCGGACATAATAGAGAGGTCTAACATGTATGATTAAAGCGGTGGTTATAGCCATGACGTCTTTACATAGTGGTACGAAGGATACAGAAAAGATGTTAAGCTGGAAGTGAAGGAAAATCGCTAAACTCGCAGCTGAGATATAGAAGTGTGAAATGTCTCACCCCACTTGTCTAATCCAGACAGCCATGTCAGACAGCACTGCCCAGACCTGGCCTCACATTTGTCTTCTGCAGTCAAAGCAATACAGCTTGGTCCAGGCCTCTGATTGGATAGTGAAATGGAGCAAGCCACTGATGAGGTTAGCCCGGTGTTCTCTTGTGTCCTATCAGCAAGCTCCATGCCTCCAAACTGCAGCCAGTGGGCCGAATTCTGCCCTTTGCTTGCCTTTATTTGTCATTTGGGGCACTATTCTTCCCACTGAGACAATGGGCCATGATATATTCCAAACAATGGGGCATACTTCCTTCCATTGACAACATTGAAAGGGCATAATTCTTTCGTTTGGCATCAATGGTGGACACAATTCCTCTCACTTTGACCATTGACGGGCACAATTTCTCCTACAACGGGGCATTAATCCTCCCACTGATACTAACGATGGAGCACTATTCCTCCCATTGATACCATGTTGGGGCCATGTTCCTCTCACTGTCACCAACAGTGGGGCATTATTCCTCCCACTGATACTAATTATGGAGAACTATTCCTGTCATTGATACTATGATGGGGCCATGTTCCTCTCATTGTCACCAATAATGGGACATTATTCTCCCTACTAATACTAACTATGGTGCACTATTCCTCCCATCAGTACCATGATGAGGCTATGTTCCTCTCACTGTCACTATCAATGGGGCATTATTCCTCCCACTGATACGAGCATTATTACTCCCATTGATATCATGATGGGGCCATGTTCCTCTCACTGTCACCAACAATGGGGCATTATTCTCCCCACTAATACTAACTATGATGCACTATTCCTCCCATCGGTACCATGATGAGGCCATGTTTCTCTCACTGTCACCAACAATGGAGCATCATTCCTCCCACTGATACTAACTATGGAGCTTTATTACTCCTATTGATATCATGATGGGGCCATGTTACTTTCACTGTCACTGTGACAGTGATGGGCTTTATTCAACCAGGAAGAGTGAAGACTTACTGTGAGTGCGGGGTGTCATTGACCCACCCCCCAGAGCCCAGCACATCGTATTGACGCAGAGTACAGCATTGCACATGCAGGAACAGTACTCCGCATGTTAAAATGCATTGCATTAAGGAATCCTATTTATTTTGAACCGGCTGCCAACGCATGACAGCAGAATCAAAAACAGATCTGCAGCACTGTTTTTTTAACGCAACACAATACATCATATTGATAAATATTAGGTATGGAATATGTCCGAAAATATATAATATAAACCAGACCCTCCGTAGAGAAACAAGCCAATTTCTTCTGTGGCAAATGGTAGCCAAGAAAAAAAAAGCCGGACATATTTCCAAGTGACAGATCCCAGTAAACAATGGTCTGAATTATTTTCACCGTTGATACAAGACATGTCATACATAGAGAGTTCAGTAAACAGATGTTGGCTTTTGCAATAACACGTCCGTGCATACAGATCGGGAAATTTGCTCGCTGACAGAGTGGGACAGGATTCCACCAAGGTGCCTTTGACAAATCAAAGCCTGTTGGTGTAATTGTTTTTTCCCGCATCTCCTCTTTTCAAGATGTCACTCATAAACATAATATCCCATTAGGAACATGTATACATTTATCTGCCGGAATTGATCTGACGCAGGTTGTTCCGGGCCGGAGTTAATCGCATGTCATGCGCACGGTGCAGTGGATGCCTGTGAAACAAATATGAGCTAATTAGATATTCTTAGCTTGGGCCCACTTATCTGACATACCGAAGTCACTTTTACTAGGCGGCAGTTCCAATGTAACGGATCACTTTATGCTTTTAGTGAAGGAGCCTGACAGGGAATTTGCGGCTTTAATGGAGCGCTCTGGTCATAAGGTAGAGCTTATAGGATAATGAGACAGGAGGATGGTACATCTGAAAAAAACAATTATTTAAAAAAAAAAACTTCTATGGATAACCAACAACAAGCAACTAAAGATGATACAATAAAAAAAAATAAAGACTATGAATATAATAAAATCAGTAATATAATGTAAAAACTGTGTAATTAATTTAAAAAATATGCAAACAAATGCAAAATAACTAGAAAAGATTGAGTGCATATGCTAGCTGCAGTAAAAAAAATAAAAAAATTGTGTGTTACACAAAGTCCTCCATCTCTTTTTCTGCAGCCCCTGTTATAAATGAACTGGAATCCTTATTTTATATTTATGTTCATCATTTTTTAAAATAATATTTATCTATTATATTACTTTTTTACTTTTCTTTTATTAATAAAATAAAAGGCATATACACTCTTTTGCTTCTCCTGCGCTGGTTCTTGAATTCCCAACAAAGACATCAGTCACAAATGTGTAATGTGAATTAGTAGCTGAATACTTTTGTACTTACATACTTTTGTTGTTGGATCCCCTGTTTGGAATAGAAAACTAGTGTTGCATTAAAGGAGAATTATGAGGTGAGTGATTTCCACTCAGCCTCATAGTTCGAGCCGGACCTGTGACAAATAATCTGTTACACATCGGCTCGATAGATCGGGAAGTGAGCGAACACATACCATTGCTCGCTCACTTGTCGATCATGTCCCTGCAGAGAGCCATGACTGTCACTCCCTGCTCACCGCAGGGATTCCCCCCTCCCCGCTCCGATCCTCCAGCGCTGACTGGCGGAACGGACGGGGGAGGGGGCGGGTACATCTGGCTCTGCCTCTAGATTGGCAGAGCCAGCTGTCAATAACGCAGCTGGGTGGATCTCGACAGTAATGTCGGGATCTGTCCCAGCTGCGGCGGTCTTAGCGAGATGTAGCGCGCTATATACTGAGCTTTGGGTCACGGGAGGACGCTAGTATATGTCCTCCCATGACCCTGAGGAGAACTATGGGGAAAAACACTGACACTGATAGTTCTCCTTTAGGGCCAAGGCTTGTAGTAACACGTTCAATTTCCAAAGGCCCACTTCTGTGGGTTTCAACCTACATCGTAGCCATTAAATGCACCTCCTATGAACAGAGAGTATTGCTGTCAGCTGTTTTTAGAGGGATTTGCAACATTTATTGCAGGTACTTCTGCAGCCCATGGTCAGAAGAGAAGCACCAGATACATACAGTCTGACATTTTGTCATTTGCAATTGATTTCATTATATCCTTTAAAGGGAAACTATAACAGTTCGGGGTCTGTTTTATTGTATATCACTGTTTTGTACAGGATTTATTTATTTCAAGGATTTATTGTAGCTGTTTTCTTTATCTGTTTTTTTTTTTTTTTGCTATCTATATACAGTCTTTGAATTAAAAAAATTATAATACATGACTATAGGGTTCCTAGAGCACTATGAGTTATACAGCACAGCAGAGCAGCTTGCTTTGCAGCTCCCTTTGCCTGACTGGAACTGAGCTTTCTGGTAAGGGTAGAATCATTACTCTTATTATGCTGAAATACCTAAGTATTCAAAATAGGTGACTAAGGTTCCATCTACTGGCTGGAAAGAAGACTTTGTAGTATTCATGTGCAACATGTCATAGTTATATAAAACATTTTTTAACTTTCTATGTTATTATTTTACATTTAACAATTTAAGAATGTGCATTATATATTGATTTGTTGTTTTGCCTTCACCAATGAGCCAGCAATGGACGATTTTGGTATCCAGTAAACCTTTATATATTTGTGTTTTTGTCTTTTAGAGCAACATACGTTCCTGAATGTAATATTTTTCCTGCTCTAAGAAGGACTCGTTACAGCAAGAAAATGGACCCAATTTCTCTTCCGATAGCTTCTCTCCTGGAGCCTGGGACACAAGAGCCTAATATCACGTCATACAGAAATTTCACCGATAATGGGACACTGGTGGAGCCTTCAGCTTCACGAATGAGCTCTGTCCTTATCTCTATTATTTATTTGCTTGTTTGTGCCATTGGACTCAGTGGCAACACATTAGTCATTTATGTTGTCCTCCGTTATGCCAAGATGAAGACCGTCACCAACATCTACATCTTGAACCTGGCAGTGGCTGATGTCTTATTTATGTTGGGACTGCCTTTTCTTGCTACCCAAAATGCCATCTCATACTGGCCCTTTGGAACTTTCCTCTGCAGACTGGTGATGACTGTGGACGGTATAAACCAGTTCACCAGCATCTTCTGCCTAACGGTCATGAGCATTGACCGTTACTTGGCCGTGGTTCACCCCATTAGGTCTACTAAATGGAGGAGACCCAGAGTGGCAAAACTCATCAGCGCCACCGTTTGGACTGTTTCCTTTTTAGTTGTCTTACCAGTCATCATCTTCTCAGATGTCCAGCAGGATTTGAACACCTGCAACATAAACTGGCCAGAACCAGTAAACATTTGGTCTACTGCGTTTATTATCTACACTTCAGTGCTGGGCTTTTTTGGACCTCTGTTGGTGATTTGCCTTTGCTATCTTCTAATTGTCATTAAGGTGAAGTCTACTGGCCTTCGTGTAGGTTCCACCAGGCGCAGAAGATCTGAACGTAAAGTAACAAGAATGGTGGTCATCATCGTGGCCGTGTTTGTCTTCTGCTGGCTTCCATTCTACATCCTCAACATTGTCAACCTAACTTTTATAGTGCCAGAGGAGCCGGCGTACGTTGGGGTGTATTTCTTTGTTGTCGTGTTGTCCTACGCCAACAGCTGCGCCAACCCGATCCTCTATGGTTTCCTTTCGGATAATTTCAAGCAGAGCTTTCAGAAGGTCCTCTGCCTTCGCAAAAGCAACGGCATCAAGGATGCAGACCTGACAGAGAACCGTCAAGAAAAGAGCAGTCGAATACAGGAGACCATGCTTACGTCTCGCAACTCGGAGTTCAATGGGCATATGCAAACCAGCAAGGTCTGAATGTTGTTTCAGTATGTAAACAGCCACAGAGAATTTGAGGCAAATTTATTCCATTATTTATGGATTGGGCATTGGATTCTTGATTAGATCTGGTCAAAGCTGGAAAAGCTCAGCAATGCTCAAAGGACTCTGTAGAATTTATACAAATGTAACTTCTGGTTTCATCATCCAATATTGACGTTCATCTCTCATGTTCTATGCATTATCCAACCCTCCTCTCCCCAACCCCAGAACAGTGTGCCCACAGAGGTTCATTGAGAACCACTTCGCATTCTGTTCACGTTAAGCTATTTCTGGGGGCAATTAACTTTGCAACACAATGTATCTGGCTGGTGGTCAGATTTAAACCTCCATGAAGTGGATGCTGCATTGTGATGTAAACACTCTTTGCATTTCCATAATAATGTGTGCACTACGTATGACTAAATCTTGTTGAGGCTTAATCATTATTCATGCCAGAGGGACAGATAATGCACAATGAAAGATGTTCTGTAATGATGTATTGTAAGCCATTATTACTCTTACTTCATATGAGCTTTGCAGGGTGCACTATTACCAAAAATTAGCTGAAGTTCCGCTAAAATATGTGTAATTTTATTCCTATATTTATTTGTTTATTTTTTCTTTGTAATAAAAATATTTAATGCAAAATACACAGTAAAATTATTTTAAGTCAAATGTAAACATTTTGCTGATGCCGTGCGCATTGTTTTCTTGTTATTGTTTCTGTTTTTATGTGCTTGTATAGTTAGTGGGACCCACTAAAACCGAACCATAGAGCGTGCTGGCATCGGAGGGCCTTAATGGACAATTTTATTATAAATGAAATGTTTACTTAGAAACACAAAGATAAGACAGTGTGTATCACATGGACTTATTGTACAAGTTCCTCCTGTAGCCTGCAGGGCCATATTTTATAGGTGCACCTGAATCTTCCCTCCTCTTTCATGTTTGAAGTCCCAAACTTTCCCAAGCTGACCATCGCGTACGACTTGGCTGAGGTGTTTTAAGTGGCCAGCCCTATTCCTTAAAGCTATCTATGTTTGAGGAAAGGTACTGTGTGTCTGAAGCAGAGGTAGAGGTAGAGATGTGGACATCTCCCTGAACAACATGTAGGAGTTCAAAGATCACCAGGGGACAGCTCACATTTTTTTAAGGAGATAACCTTGCAAGGTCACAATAAAAAGTAAGGAAGATTTGAAGAGTTTAGGGCAGTGGCCTCACAAGGGGGGTGCCGCCTGCACCCGGGTGACACCATTGGAGGGGTGACACCAAAATGACTCACAGTCATTTTGGTGTCACCCCCCTCTGAAAAGTCGGGCGCTCGGTCATTGACCGAACGCCCAACATTATCAGGAGAGAGGAGGGGACCCGGCGGCATACCTTATTCTGCTGGGTGACTGTCCCCTCCTCTCTCTGCCGTTGTCCATCACCAAGATGGCCGCCGGCAGGTATCAGAATACTGCCGCGCGTTCGCGATGACTTCATCGCGCACGCGCGTGGTGACATCACGCGCACGCGCAGTGACGTCTCGGCGGTGTGACACTCGGTTACCGCTCCGGGTGTCACCCAGCCTCGGGACGCCCCTGGTTCAAGGGTTAGTAGTAAGTAATGCAGAGTTCAGGGGTCAGTTATAAGTAAATTCCAAAAAATGCAATACACTGACCAGCGCCAGGAAGACCATCTATTAGCCAGAACCCTTCACTGCGCATCCAGTAGAGGCTGCCCTGTTCCACTCAGGGAGTCCTGAAGGCTATATAGAAAAACAAAAAACAACTGGGCGCCTTTCCTGGTGCAAGTAAAACATTTTTATTCAATAAAAGAGTGAATCAAAATATACTCACAAAATAGGCAGTATGTAAAGAGCTCTGAGGAAGGGGGTGTGTCCCCGAAAGCGCGCTAAGCATTAGCAGTGGAACTCTGCAAGGAGAACAGAGTCTCCTAAGTGTCTCCTTGATCTCTCCATCTGTTACATCTACAGCAGCTATTCTGTTAAAGTGACATTAAACCCTCAGATTTTTTAACATAAAACAATAGTGTAATGTGCGCCTTACTGTAATCCATGGTTGTTTCCCTTCTCTTTGCTGCTCTTCCTTTTAAATCTGTATCTCTTCTCATGCTGGGCAGAACTTCTGTTTTGCAGCAGACTGCCTTGTCTCTGAAATGGATACATGGTGTCTGTGTGTAGGTTTGCAACCTGAGCCAGCACTACAGGAGGAGGCACTCAGCTGCAAAGGGAAGTTCTCCCCCAGCATGAGAAGGGATACGGATTTAAAAGGAAGAGCAGCAAAGAGACGGGACACTACCATGGATTACAGTAAGGCACACATTACAGTATTGGTTTATGTTAAAAAAATCTGAGGGTTTAATGTCACTTTAAGGACTGTCAGTCCATTTTGATGCTTTTATATACCGCCTATTTTGTGAGTATATTTTTATTTACTCTTTTATTGAATAAAAAGGTTTTACCTGCACCAGGAAGGGCACCCGGTTGTTTTTGTCAGTTGTAAGTAATTCACAGGTCAGTAGTATGTAACAAAGAGTGCATGAGTTAGTAGTATGTTGGAAGACATAGAAGAGTTCAAAGATCATCAGGGTGCAACTTACATGTTTTTTAAGCAGATAACCTAGCAAGGCTCCTTTAAAAAGTCAGGAGAGTTTGAAAAATGTAGGGTTAGTAATGCAGAGTTCAGGGGCCAGCTGTCATAGTTCAGGAGTAGGTAATGCAGAGTTCAGGAGTAAGAAGTAAGTAGCACAGAGTTCAGAAGTGCGTAGTATGTAATGCTGGGTTCCGAGGTCAGGAGTAAGTAACGCAGAGTGCAGGGGTCAGGAGTAAGTGCAGAGTTCAGAAGTCAGTAGTATGTTACACGGAGTTCAGAGGTTAAGAGAGGGTAATGCATGTTACAGGGGTCAGGAGTAACACAGGGATCAGTAGTAAATAGTGAGAAGTGCAGAAGTGAGTAGTATGTAACAAAGAGTTCTTAGGTCAGGAGTAAATAACGCAGAGATAAGGGGTCAGGAGGACGCAATGCACAGTGCAGGGATCAGTAGTATGTAAAGCAGTGTGCAGCATATATTCTATAGCACCACAGTCCAGACTATGTAACACAAAGCACAACGCATAGAGTGCAGTGTTCTGCTGCATGGGTGATGTAGAAAACTTGTTTGCTTGTGAAGCCTGTTCAGGCAGTTCTTCTGCTGTAGCTCGTTCTCTTGAAGGTTAGACATATTTGACATTCACAGATGCCCTTCTGCATAGCTCTGTATAGAGAAGTTATTTGAATAGTTGTGAACTTTCTGTCAGGTTCCAGCAAACCTGTTCTTTGCCCTTCTCTTATGTGACAGCGTCAGTGTTTGTTAATTGGTCCAGTGTTGTGGTGTGAGGTAAGGGAAAGAGTTCTCAGCTCTGTGGAAGTGTACACAGGGATCCCTTTGATCTCGGAGTGGTGGGGGAGCCAAAGGAATGTAAGGTGATGGGGCATTAAAGAAAACCTGTTGCTTTGTCCTGCCTGGTCAAAACCCAGATTCAATTGAGATGCCTGGCCACACTGCCCTGACCAGCTTCCCAATGGCAAGACCTTTTCAGTCACGGCACTGCCGCTCACTGAAAGGTTTATTTTCCACAATTTTTTTGTAAAATCTAGACATTGCAATGTATGATAATCCCTAGAGGTCAGCAGGTTCTAAGATGCTGCATCTACCATGTTTGGCACCAGCACTTATTCTGTGGTCAAAGTCCCTTAGTTTGTATATGTATATGAATGTATATTGAACAGCTGAAGCTCTTCGCTTTGTCTGCATGCCTTATGTATCGAGCTGCTGAAGCTCTTCGCTTTGTCTGCATGCTTTATGTATTGAGCTGCTGAAGCTCTTCGCTTTGCCTGCATGCCTTATGTACTGAGCTGCAGCCCAAGCCATATAATTCACTATTTGTCTATTTTTTAATAAAGAAAGAAAAACTCTCTTGCTCTCTCTACTGTGAGAGCCTGCTGCCGGGTGAAAGGGCTGAATGCTGACAGAACAATAAAAAGCTACATGAGCTGATGGCTTGTTTTGGAGAGCCCATTAGGTGGAACACAGCATAAATGTAATTGGTGGCTCTGACAAGCAGATCTTTTGTTTGTTGTTGGACTTTCTGTACAAATCCTTCCTGCATTTAACTGCATTTGTTTGCAGGACAAAGACTGTTCCTGGGTGTCCCTGTCTCATGCATGGTTTACTAGCTGAGCCTGCCCCCCTAACAGCATATTTATGAAATTTCACACAGCACAATGAGAGAGAACGGGGAGCTCAGAACATAGAGTGACACTCTCCAGCCTATGGCAGCTCCATAGCATGAAGGTCAGGTAGAACCAAAGACTGGCTGTATAGTAAAATAGATAAGCATAGACATTGTAACCAGTTGAAAAGGAGTTTTCTTTGTTATCTGTAGTAGTTACCTGTAACTTTGTCATAGATCTGTATTTAAAAGTCTTAATATTTAAGTGGTCAACAAAAATATGGAATTTGGGAAGTTTTCTGTTAATTGTGTAAGATGACAGGAATAATAAGCAAAGAATGAAGATTGATAAGAAGCCTATCGTTTCCCATTACTTTCTTCCTATTGGTCTTGTATTCTCCACAGAAAACTGGAATATTTCATATTCTTGCCTTATGGATGACGATGAAGGGACTTTCTTTTGTACTGTCCATGTTTTAAAGCTATATTGTTTACATTGTGCATGGAACCTATGGCTTGACTGTTCAGATGGTCAAAAGAGCAAAAGTGATTTGCTGTCATTGTCCATAAGAACCAATCAGATTTCAGTTTACTGAAGTCAGTTGATTAACGATGACCATAGGTCACTGCACTTTTTTCTTTGCCTTATTAAATATATGCGTGGCTTCGGAATACGGGTTAAAAAGATCTGATCGTAATTCGTGATTCTCGGGCCACTGTTATATCTCAGGAATGCTACTACGTTTTTAATAGCCCAAGAGCAAAAAATGTTTGTGCCGTTTTTTCTTGAGCCACTAGAGGTCTCAATTTCCTAAAAAAAAAGTTTGGTCCTTACTT